ACACCAAAAAAAAAAAATATATATAAATATAAACAAACCCTGTCATTTAATTGGTTTCCCCGCCAAATATAAACTCGTAACTTTAAAATTCTTATCATAACAAATAAATTCGGAGGTTTTAAAAGAAAATATTACACACAAATACATGGGATGTAATCTTTTAAAAATCAAAATGAATACAAAAAGGCAAGACAATTCCAAAATATTATTAATAATAATAATAATATATTTTGCAGCTTAAATAATTATGTGTAATTGGTTAAAAAAAAATCTTTTCCCTGATAACTTATCTCGGTCGAAACTCTGCACTATCTTGGAATGATTCAAAATATTTGAAACCAAACAATGCGCGTGTGTAAATCATATCTAATTAATTTTCTTAAGTAATTAATTAGCACGACATTAAAATCAACACCAACAAATATTTTCGAATTTCCCTTAATTTTTTTATGCGTTGATTCCAAATATTAGCAAGAAAACATAATAGATATTAATGGTTTGAAATTTTTTTTTTTTTAATATTTTAATATTTCTATCAGGCGTCCAATCAAATTTCTTCGCAAATTTAAAATGGCAGGTGGGATGATTTCTAACGAAATGAGATATTTTTTTTCCAGGAATATTTGATTTTTCATGATCTTTATGGATCTTTAAAGATCAATGCATACATTGAAAAATGAAAGAAATTTTTTTTTTTTTGATGCCATTATAATAAATTTGGCCCAATAAATTATTATTAATATTACTATTATTGTTGTTTTTTTGAATTTATTATTATTTTTTTTTTTGTTTTTTGATAAATCCGTTATTACTAAATAAATAACTGAAAGAAATAAATTTTTTTAAAAAGAATTAAAAGAGCTTATAAGAATAATATATAAAGAGAAACATTATTTTTTTTTATAAAAGGAAAAAAAAAAACAAAAAAAAACAAAAAGAAATTGTTTTTTCTTTTTTTTTTGAAATTGCTTTGCTCGTTAAATCCGATATCTTAAAGATTATTTTTTTTTTTGTTTTAAAAAAAAAAAATGAAATGAAAAAAAAAAATTATAGATAGATAAAAAAAAAATTGGAGAAGTAAGAGTTTTTTTTTCCTCAGTTGTTAAATAAAAAATAAAGTTCCCAAAAAAAAAAAAAAAATCCTCCAAAGTTTAAAAAATAAATACATAAGAATAATGAAAAAAAAGTGAAAAAAATGCAAAAGAATAAAAAATGCAATGATGTTATTATTGAGATTTGTGATTAATGCATAAAAAGTTGTTTTGGATTAAATCGAAGCGCAATTCATTTTTCCTTGTAAGTGGTTCAATGTCGCCGAGTGAAAGGAAGTAGCCAAGTTGATTTTTCATGACTTTATTACCATGGATGAAGTTCAACGTATGTAATAACTAATACTTTGAATTAATTAAGAATTAGGGTTAGACTTACAATCTACTATTTGATGGAACAAAAAAAATCGATAAACTTGCAAAAGAAAGAATTCTCACCCTTCGTCCTCCACGGTTAGGTGATGATTTACTACTGCGAAGTGAACCTTTTGATGATCGCTTATTACTATTTTTTTTCTTTACAGTGACCCAATCATCAGAACTACCATTAATTTGGTGTTCTTCGCTGGAATTTTGCATTAATTTAGCTTCTTGTCTCAAATCAGAAAATAAATCATTGTTGGAGAATGAATTGCATGGTGATTCTGGTGGTGTGGATGGTCCCACAAAGTGTTTTGGTGTATCATATAACTGTGCGATGCTGTTGCGTTTCTTTGACAAATTCTTTAATTGTATAACTTGTGAATGTAATCGAGCGATCTCTTCTTTCATTAATAAATGTTCGGAAGCTATAGATTCATGAATAAAATGAGGAGAAATTTGTTAGAATTCATAACATTTCTAATTTTATTTATTTATTATTTATTATTTTTTTTTTTTGCGAAAGAAATATTCTGTACAAACCTTGAGATTTTGTTTGCTCAAGTTGTTTCCGTAATTTGTTATTTTCTCCCTCTAACTGAAATAATTTGGCTTTCTCTTGAACTAAAAGAATAAGGAAATAAAAAAAATTATTTATCGTGCAATCTCACTGCGCCACAATACAATTAAAAACCAATTTACGATTTTGTACCTTGTTGATTTGTTAAATTTTGAACTTGACTTGTGAGTTGTTTGATAGTTTTGGCATTTGCCTTCTTTTCTTTCTCATGCGTGGCTTTAATTTTATTAAGTTGCTCTTGGGTGTCGTCAAGCTCGGCGCCGAGGCGTTCTTTTTCACATTTGATATCTTCTTGATAAACTTGTATTATGTAGGAAGTTATACCATCTCTATGAGCAATCATTTCAATGCTTTCTTCCAGTTCCGATCTTGTTGCTTTCAATTCTGCGTTTTGACGTTTATATTTATTATTTGTAGCGGCAAGATCAGATTTCGTGGTATCAAGTAAACCTTTGATCGAGGAGAGATCAGCTTTCGCCCATTCAAGTTTTGATTTTGTAAAAGAAAGTTGAGCTTTAGTTGAATCCAATTGAGATTTAAAAAAGGAAAGTTGAGCCTTTGTAGCCTCTAATTCGTCAGCATGTTCCTCTTTTGTGGCATGAAGTTCCGCAGCATATTTTGCTCTTATCACGCCGATTTCGGCTAAAGATTTTGCCTTTGTGGCTTCAAGTTCAGCAGAACACATCGCTTGAGCGGCTTCAATTTCGGCACTACACATGGCTTGAGCAGCCGATAATTCATTTTGCGCGTTAGCAAGGTCTTGTTGGGTAACTTCCAAATCTCGTTTTAAAGTCTTTATCTGAGTGGCATGATTACGAACGAGTTGTTCACGTTCTTTTAATTGTATTTGTAACTCTTCTATGGCTATATCACTTTCACTTATGGTGGCCGCCAGATCAGTTTTTGTAGATTGTAGATCATGAGCACATTCCAATAGGGAAAAATTTAATTCTCTTATTTCACCTTCACGAACCTTTAATTCAGATTTTGTTCTATCAAGTTCAATTTGTAAATTAACTTTTTCCTTTTTAAATTTACTTAGCGCATCATTTAACTGTGCGGTGGTGTGATCACGTTCTAATAATGAAGATCTTAGGTCCTTGACCTCTTGACCACGATCCTTTAGCTGTATTTGTACTTGTTCTAAATCATGTATGACTTTTTCTTTTTCTGATTCCATGCCCTTTATCCGATTTTCCAATGTCCTTAAGGCGGCCTCACGTTGTTGTATTTCTTCCCTCAAGGTAGTGATGGTTATAGGTTCGACAGTCGAAGAGCGTACATTTTGTGCCACCGATTGTCTTCGATTACTTCGATTCTTTTTTTTCGCCAAATAGGTTTTAAACGCCGAAGCGAACTCCTTTTCTTTTTCGGGTTTATTACCTATTCCGACACCAATACCAACAATACCACCACCACCACCTCCTCCTCCACCACCTCCACCACCACCTCCTCCACCACCCACAGCGGCATCTTGTTCACGTTGTAATTGTTGTAAACGTTTTGCTTCTAGCTTCGATTCACGTTTTGATTCTCTTTTTGAATCCAATTTTGGTTCCCTTAATGACGGCGGTATGTTAACATTTGATATACCTTCATCCTGTGTACGAAAAAAAGCAAAGCTATGTCTTGTTTGGCGACCACCAGGGTTACGGTTTTTAAGTTGCAAGAATTTCAAAGATTTCATACTTGTATCATGAGGGGGTAAAAGGTAGGGGATAGGAAAAGAAAAAAAGGAAAAAAAAAAAAATTATTGAGATTGTCAATTTTCAAAGGATTTTTATATTTAATAAAAAAAATGTAATTTTTTTTTTTCGTCATTATAACACAATTTGGTATATATATGATTGTAACGATGATTGTTGTTAATAATAATAATATTAATTTTTTGAACTTTATCGTATGTCGTGTAAGATGACATTTTCTTTATTACATGCAGTTGGTCTGTTTTTTTTTCTTGTAACACACGCATCTATTTTCTTTTGGACGAAATTTCTATTTTTATGTGATGCACCGTATTAAAATATTCTAATATCCGGAAGATTGTAAAAAATTTAAACTTTAAATAATCCGATTTAGGCCATGTGTAAAATTGAAAGTGTTACTTCAATAAGAAATTCCCTATATAGAGTTTAATTTCATTGCATTAATTTTAATTAAATAATTTGCATATATATAAATATATAATGAGGTAAATAATTAATCTTTTAGTGGTCCCTCGAATTTTTTTGTTCTTTATTAGGGGTTTAAGGGTACAATTGGAACTTTTTTCAGCCATTTTATCAAGTATTAGTAAGTTGTGAAGGGCAGATCGTCACGAGTCAATAAATTATGCAACTCATAATTTCTTCTTTCACGAAAATCTGGCCTTGTAACATTAATATTTCCTTAATTGAACTTTTTTTTTTTTTTTTTTTCAATGATAATTTCCAATGACGAAAATCGCCCCACGTTGTTTATACAAGAGTGGGGGGGACGTGATTATTAATTTTTTTTTTTTTTTAATTATAATCAGGAAAATGTGGAACGTAGCAAACTTTTGCTAGTAATTTCTTGTTGAACGTGGGATGAATTGGAAGGAGAATTCATTTTCGATCTGGCCGCCACGTTTTACCAAAAGAGGAAAAACGCTTCTGCACAAGCCTAAATTGTTAATTTTCAAAAAGGTGCCGTAAATAGAAATTACCTCCATACTAAATAAAGTCATTTGAACATTGTCGTTACATTTTTGTAATTAATTAACATTTTATTTTATTATTTTTATTTTGAATCCGAGTTTCGGTTGTTTGTTCAAAGCCAAATTTATACAATAAAGTTAGTAAAGTTCAAATGTATTGGTCATGTCGTAATTTATCATCATCTTCATTCATATATGATACTGTAAAATAACCCTTGACTTTTTAAGAAGGAAGTAGGGTTTGATCGCCTTTTGATTCGTCGCGATTCGCCAATTGACTTGAACAAATCGAATGGCAAGGATTTTTATGTATTTATTGTACTCAAAAAGTCGTTTACAAGCAACACCTTTTTGATAAAGCGTCATCGTTTTGATCCCTGCATATGACCAATCTGGAAATTCGCAATGGAGCGACTTCATGTGTTATTCTCGATGCGCGTTGTCGTGATGTTTTGCTTTTTTATTTAGGGAACTTTTTTTTTTTTTTAAAAAAAAAAAAAAAAAAAAAAAAAAAAAGGTGTTTTAAATCGGTTTCACGAAGAAGCAAGGCGTTAACAATGTTTCATATGTATCCTGTGGCAAATACTGCAATTCTCGAGTCGTAAATTAAGCGAATAAACGACAAATTTTTTTTTACATGAGGTGATTATGAAACATCGATCCGGAACATAAACGAATGACTTCAACGAATAACAAACAACCATTCAAATTTAATTTTACACCGAAAACATGAAATTTAGACCATTTTACAATATTGTAAGTGAAACTATGAAAACAAGAAATATTCATATGCGAACATTCGAAATTTGAACCCTTGTGTACGTATTCTGCGTTACGTTCAAAAATTTTCACTTTCTTTTTCTTAAATCAATTATTTTAATTAAAAAAAAATACATTCGATATCACTGTACAATATAATAATACAAATAATATATATATATTGAAAATTGATAGATGAACAAAAAAAAAAAAAACGAAATAAATACTAATTAAAAATATAATGATTTTTTCTTTTTTTTAGACTTTAATGATTCTTTTTTAAAAGATACAATGATATAGAATTGGTTTGTGCCCGCAAACTTGAGGGGAATTGATGTTGTTGATACCTCTGTAAACCGAGAATGGACAGAACGGTCTTCGGATCAATGATCCCATTGTATTCGTGGTCGTACTCGTCCTTCTCGTCTTCATCAGTTTCATCATCATCTCTTTCATCGGCCTCCCATTCTTCTTCTTCTTCTAGTTGAAGAAGATTTTCGTAATACTAAATAGAATCGGCAATTTCAATTGTATGTAAAGAATTGTTGATTGAATAATATGATGTCCCAAATTCAAAATTAAAAAAGTTTACCTCCTTTGCGTCCAACAATTTTTGATAGTCTGGATCATCAAAATTCATTTCATCTAATTCCAAACAAATCATATCGATGACGTCATTATAATCAGGACATCTCAACCAACTTGTCATGGGCAATTCACATCTGGAACACAACAAATCCGAAATTTTAATTCCAGTGAATTCCTCTTCATCATCATCATTACGATCATAATCATCATCATCGTAGATATCTTCAATGGCGACTTCATACAAATCTTCCACATCATATTCAGGAAAACCACAATTATTACAAGCGGCAATCTTATGATGGATATGCTTGGGTTGATTACAATTAAGACAAGATTGATTATAAATTAGCGATTTACGTCGGATTGCTAAGGATTTGAGGGTTAATATGTTCGATCCTTGTTCGTTTAACCATTTATTACACGTTTGGCACTCATTAAAGTTTGTATTTGGTTGATTACATCCTTTGCATGTACCAAAAATTTTACGACGACGGATTAAAGTTGGTGATTCTGGAGATTCTTCAACAGAAGAAACGACAGCAGGGTCGTTCGTTGAGATTTTTTGAGGTTCGGTCGGAGATGATGTTGATGGATTCATTTTCTGTTTAAAAACTTTAAACTTGTTGTTTTTTTTATTTTATTTTATTTTATTTTTTTACCTGTGAAGAATCTAAGGGAGAGAACCGATGTAAATGATGTTGTCATAATTATCGAATCCTCACAACTATTTCGAAATAAATACGTTTGTTTACCTTGTGAAAGAAAATCGTTAAATTTTAAGACGTCAAAGTATTATTAAAGAGAGTAAAAGGTGTGATTAAATGAGACGTGTTATTGCAACAGGATGATTGTTAAGTGAATAAACGTGATAGGAGGTCGTTAAAAAAAAAAAAAAAAATCTTAAGAGGCGTAAAAAAAAAGTCGTTTAAAATAAATATTTTTTTTTTTTTTCACATACATGAAAAAATGGATATGAACATTTTCGAATCCAGGTGAAGTGAAAGAGGTGATTTATAGAAACCAATCGTAAAATTATTGCCGTGTCCTTCTGCGCGAAGCCGTCATGAACTTATGAACGCGTATTGTTTGTTGTGTTACAACATCAAGTCAAGCTAAACCTATTATGGAAAATAATACATTTCATACATATCAAATTGCAAGTTATTGGTTTCTTTTCTTTTCCTGAATAATAATAAATGCAAGGGATTTAATTTTTTTCATTTTCTCTTTATATGATTTTAATTATTTTGGCGGGCTTTTTTTCCCCTCCCTCCTTAGTTTGTAAACAATGGCGCATAAAGTGCAATCGATTTTGTAGATATGGATGATTAGAAAATTTTGCACATATTCTCCAATTCATTATTGTCTTTATAAAAAAAAAAAAAAATTATTAAGGTCGAATAATCAAAATTTTTTTTTGATTATTATGTTCAAAGTTTGAGATAATCCTTGGAATAATTGATTGTCTTTTTTTTTTTTTTAAACCTTAAAAGATTAGATTAAGCAAATTTCATTTTTATTACTTTATAGATTTGGTTCAATAAAGTAAATTGTTATTGGTGCACTTTGTTAATTATTTAAAGTTCTTTTATGCAATCCATTGCGAGTACTGCGGTAATCGATGTTCATCATACATAATTGCGAAAGTTATCATTCACTAATGATCGTCCGGTTTATCAGCATTTTTCTTAAAAAAAAAAAAAAAGTTCTACAATTTTCATTGGTTCAAGAATCGACCAATTAAAATTTTTCAGAATTTATAAATTTGATAACCCCCGATTATATATAGTATTATGTTCTTTTGCTTTGCTTTTTATCCTAAAATAATCCCATTTTAGATGTAAAAATATATTAAGTTGACTAGCATTTCATATTTTTTTTATGTAAGGATTTATTATTATTCAATAAATATATATAATATTAGAGCTAATCATTTTTTTTTTTAAATTTAAAATAATCAAATAATTTATGATATTAAACTTATTTTATTTTATGATAAAATCAAATATATTTTATTTTTATATCAAATTAATAACAAATTTATAAAGTCAATTGATAATTATTTTTAATAATTTATTAAAATAAACTTTAGAAATTCAATTATTTATTAATCATATAATATTTGAAAAAAAAGTTTTTACAAATTAATCTTATAAATAAATATAAGTAAAGTATATATAAATTATCATATTTTAATCAAATTTATAATATTTATTTTAAAAATTGTTTACATTTATTATATCAATAATTAAAATTTATTATTATAAAAATTTAAAAACTAATCATTTATTTTTAAGTTAATAATATTTTAATAATAAAATATTATATACTTTAAAATAAGGAAAAATGCATTTGTAACATTCTATTACATGTATTATTTATAATAATAAATTATTTTATTAAATATTTTATAAACAAGATTTTTAAATGCAAAATTTAATTTAGAAAACTTTTACTTAATATATTAAAGACAATTTTATAGACAAAATTTTTAGTTAAAAACAGTTTTTTAAAATATTTTAAAAAAATTCTTATTTTCATTATACAATTGATCTTTTGTTTTGATTTGCTAAATTATTGACATTACACCTGATCTTAAATTTTGGTTGGATAAAATTTTAGATTTTACAAATAATATATGTAATAAGATGTTACAATTAGATTTATCCTTAAAATAATATTATATAATATATTTTTTTCATTATATAAATTAACATATTAATTAAATAATTTATAAAATAATTTATTATATTCATAATATGTAATAATTACTCAGTATAAATTGCTAAGTAATTGTTGTATTTACAATAAGTAATATAATTGATTGGAATTTTCTGAGCTCTACTTAGTAAATTTCACTTGATCATATTCTTATTGCAAATACACGTAAGGTATAGTAGTGTTACAGTTATAAGGTCACATGATTTCAATTAATTATTTTATTAGTTTTATACAAAATAGTTTAATTTAAATTTTTATTAGACTTTTTTTTAGACAATTTTCTCATAAAAACAATAAAATTTTTTTTCTCTTTTTTCCAAAAAAAAATTATTTTTTCTTTTGATAATATAAAATATCATAAAATATTTTATCTAAAAGCAATTATTTACTCTTTCTTGAATAACTATCAGCACTTGCAAAAGATGAAGTTTTTTAAAATATAATTACTAATACTAAAAAGTGGGTCAAAATAATAAATAAGTAGAGAGCAGATGTTAATTATAATTATCCTATGAAAAATCAAGATAAAGACACTATCAAATTACAAGTTACTCAATTTCTTTATGGTATAACTTCCAAAAAGGGTGAATGTTATTTACAAAATTTTTTAAAAAATGTTTTATTTACAATTAGCAAATATTTACAAGATGTTAAATCAGATTGGTAATATAATTTATATAATAAGATTAATTTTTTTGAATTGTATGCACTATTTGATGATCACTTTAAAAATTCAGATGGAACTGTCTTAAATAAGGAAATAAGTTATATAATTATTAAAAAATTTTTTTATATAGTTTAAAATACGATTTACAGGGGTTTTTAATTACTCATATTACATTGAATTATGAGTAAATTCATTAAGTAAACTTGAAGTATTTGTGCTGTTTTACAATATATTTATTTAATCTTCATTAATCCTATACCCTTACATTTCTATTTACTTATTAAAACATATCTGATACGAAGAATGCCAAATTACTAAATCAACTAAATTTCATTTATTAAAAGGAGAAAAGTAAAGAGAAGTTGAGAATAATGATCTATTAAAGATAATATAAAAGGAAGAAATTATTTTATGTAATATTTATTACATAAGTTTTATAGAAAATCCTCTAAAAAAAGTCTCAAATAAGTAAAAATCATGAACGAAAATGTTACACATGAGGAGGAAATAAGTATAAAAATTAATTTTTTTGAAGCAATCAAAATAATAGCAAAGATCATTTATAAAAGAAAATATTTAAAAAAGAAGAGACCATATACTTATTTGATAAAATGCGAGAAATATTTCAAAATATTGAACTAAGTTTGAAGGATTTCTTTAATCATCTTTATTTAGCAGCTTATCTACTTAAACATAATGAACAAACAATGAATTATATGAAGAGACTAATGTTATTTATATGCTATCTTCTTACCTTATTAAATAATACAAAAATTAATGCTTTTAAATTTGATATTACATTCTATTTAGATTTGGTAGATACAAGTAATAAGAACTTGAATATGATGGCGAATCTTAGTGTAACTATAATATTAAGATCAGTGAATTGCAAGAAAAAAAATTTTAGATTCACATAGAGACTACGTAGAAAATGCTCTTGTAAAATATTCAGAATAGGCTCTTGTGCTGAATGTTGATGACTATCATAATATTTATGTTTAATAATAATCTGATACTATTAGCACATTTTGGGTAATACATATGGCAATAATAGTAATAAAACCTTATTTCATATTAGTGATACCTTATGATAGAATACTCAATCCAAAACTTATTAATGATGAGTTAATTATAAAGCATCGTAATAATTGATTATCACAAACTTTAACATTTTTTAACAATCATATGTAAGACTATATAGATAAGGAATATTCTAATGATATGTTTATAGATCAATTAACTTTACACAGTTACAATGATAGATTAATGAAAAAAAAAGATAAATAAGCATATACAGAATGCAATTCTTTCACTAGTCGAAATAGTCCAAATCGGCTTAAAATCAGATAACCAATTTTAGGCTGATTTTGATACTATTTATAGCTGATTTGCCATATTTTCCGATCAGCACAAACAGGTGCCGATAGACGCCAATTGACCCCAATCAGATATGGCCATTCGAAACTTAAATTCAACCATAAATCAGCCTAAAACTGGCCTCAATTTGGTAACAATTCAGATGCTAATAGATGCTGATCAACATGGTTATTCAGCCTAAAATTGACCTTAATTCAGCATCATTCGGCATTAATTCAAAACTTAAATAACATAAATCAGCTTAAAATTGACCTTAATATAGCATCATTTGGCATCAATTCAGAACTTAAATAACCATAAATCAGTCTAAAATTGATCTTAATTCAGCATCATTCAGCATCAATTTGGAATTTAAATAACCATAAATTGGCCTAAAATTGGCCTCAATTTGGTATCAATTCAGTCAAATAAATATATAAAATCGATATATTATATTTATTAATTTTATTAAATATTATAATTTTATTAATAATAAAAACCTAATATAATTAGTTTTTCATGATTTACACAGATGCATTTAGTAAAGGTCTAGAAGCTGTTCTATTACAAAAATAATTAGACAGTAAAGAGCATGTAATTGCTTATGTGAGTTAAAGTTTAAACTCAACTAAATAGAACTATGCAATTACTGATCAAGAATGCTTAGCTATAATATGGGCAATAAAACATTTCTAATATTATTTAGGAATGCAACTATTCATATTAGTAACTGATTATTCTACAATAAAGTAATTATAGACCTCAAAATTATTTAAAGGATGGAAAGTTAGATGGGTTATGGAACTCTAACAATATAATTTCATCATAAAGCATAGATTCAAAAAGGCCAATAC